TGATGAAAAGGGGCAAAGTCCTAGTAAATACATGTTTCCTATGCAAAAGTGACGCTGAAAGCTGCAACCACATCCTACTCTGTGACCATTCTCTGTCAAATTTTGGTCACTTGTCTACAGCCTAATGGGTATTAATTGGGTAATGGCAGGGTCTATTAGTGAAGAGCTTTTGGCTTGGGAAGACCTTTCTCCAAATTTTCTGCAGCACATCACATTCCATTATCTATTTTCTGGATTATTTGGAGGGAAAGGAACAATAGAGCTTTTGAGGGTGGGGAAGAATCCTTTGTAAATATCAAAGATAGATGGCTGCATTATTTTGGCTCCATCTTTTTGGGACATAACGTACATACTCTTGATGATTTGGGAGCAATTGTTGATATACTTATTGACTTGTAAATATATCTTGTACATGGGGGCTCCCCCTTGGAGCCTTTCTATTAATATACTTCTCTTTTTTCTCCAAAAAAAAGAATAAGCATATTGTTAGTTTAATATTTCGTTTCTTAGATAAAGTCTTATTTTGTTTGTGTTTTTCTATTTAAGGATTTTAGTCATATTAGGTTATGTAAGCACCCCAGAATACAAGGGTGTTTCATCATTATTAAAATAAAAACTGTTGACTTTCTCGCGTTGAATTGAGTGCCTAACCACCATGTGACTGTGGTTCTTGCCAATCCCTGTGATTTTGGATAAGATTTACTTTTTTTTTAATTTTCTATTTCTGTATTGTATTCTGTTGTTCAATTGCTACCAAAGCTGGAATTCTCGACTTTAATCTCAAATTTCCCAAATTCCTAAAACAAACCTTGATTAGACCAAATTAAGAAAGAAAACTAAACTAAAAGTCATGACTGTACAACTACTTCCAACAGTTAACCTCAATAAAAATTGCAGGAACTGTTGAGAGGTGGACGACACCACTATGATAATTGTGATCAGATGCCTCTCCAATCGATACCCCCTTGATTCCTAGCATCTTTCATTGTTGGAAATTGCCACACTCTTTGCTCGAAGTTGTATACACAGCTGCCATGGTAGTAACAATCTTTTCTAGTCATGTCAATAACAGTTGATATCCGATTTGGAAATAGCACCTCTGGACAAATTTATAACCTAATGCTCGATGTTATCCTTTAGCAATATTATGTCATCCTTTGGTAAAGAGCTTGAACAATGGCTTATGGGCCTCTGCCATGTGCTCGGTAACCATTCTCATTAATTAACATCATCTTTTAGACCAAGTTAAATTTTGTCTTTCAAGAATATATGATATATTAGATCTCTCCAAGTGGAAGCGGGATGCACTTTGTTCATTATTAAAAGCATTGGTTGCTGATTAATTTCTCAAACACTTTAATATCAATTTGAAACTTGGGTATAATCTTTCTTAGAAGGTGTGCAATTAAACTTGACTATCTTTGATTAGGACATCAAAATCTTCAGGCATTCCCTTCCATGATCATATTGATATATTGACCACTTGTTTTTGGAGAGCAAGCTGATGTTTCTAATGTTGACCATCCAAATAAGAGGAGCAATTTAAAAGATCAAGTAACACAAGAAATTACCTGGGCCATCCAGTTAATGGAAGCGAGTTACTGGATGAGCTAACTGAGGAAATTACAAAAAAATTAATTCTATTAAAGAAATTGAGTCACTTAATGATGATCTTGATTTAGCAATAGGGCTTTGGCATCACTCAAATTGAGGATGAAGGTATCTTAATTGACTTGAATTACATGAAAAAGAACAAGATTCCACTTGAAGAGGCTATACTATTTTTTTTTGGCTCCAGATAATGGTAACAAAGTTTGTTGATCTTGGATTTTGTCATGTTCACTTGTCCTTTGTGATATGCACTTTTGAAACATTTTCGATCTCTCATCATGCTTCCAAGTTTTGCATGCTCCGATTCTTTGCAAACATCTCCAAGTTTTTACCTTCTTTCTACTTCAACATCCAAAAACTCAAGGTTGTGATTTTACTAGGTAGAAAAAGTGATGCATAACAAGAAGACTTTAGAATTCATATATTTAAATATTATCAAATATTTATATAATTATAATTTCATGCATTGTTTATGATATTTAATTGATTTAGAAACCATCAAGGATTAGGTTGTTATTAGTTTAGTATTTTATTTCTTATTTAATTGCAAGTCCTATTTAATTATTGTTTTTCTGTTAAAGGATTCTAGTAATATCAAATTATATAAGCAACCAATAAATGCATGTAAGCACCCAAAATTGCTTTTTTCCCCCCACTTGGGAAGTCTTAGTTGGCAGAGTCTCACTATTAACGGTCATCGGAAGAGAGAGAGGATTTTGGTGGATAGTTGTAATTTGTGGAAGGGGGATTAAGATACCAAATCATCTGCTTTGTGTTATCCTTTTTTTCTGAAATAAAAAAGTGTGAAGTATATATTAACATAATACCAAAAAAGGGGTTACTACCCATGTACATAGATTTTACAATAGTGTTAGTGTATCTATGACATTTCCAAAATTTTCATCACTACTAATGTCATGATCTAATAAAATAGACACAAAATAGTAAATTCAGTTATCCCTTATTTTGTACACACTACTTTCAACGCCATCAAAAGTTTTAGAATTTATTTCTTTTCAAATAACCCAAAAAATAGTCAATGGAATTAGATTAGTAATATTGCCTTTTACATTTAACCCATCTCAAACCCAAATTTCCATACCAACCGACCCTACCATCACCCACTCAATACCCATATGCTTTTGTGTCATCCTTCTCTTGCCATCTTTGGTGCTGGCTCTTCGCTTTTTCAACTTGATTTGAGTTGGTATCGGGTACGTTTTGGATGAATTATGGGCTTGGCATTGTATTTAAGTTGATAAGAGAAGAAGAAGCTAATATCTCTCTTTGTCTGAACTGCTTAGCTCTCTTTGTCTCAACCGGTTATCTCTCAGGCATCTGGTTCTGTCATTCCTTGTCCTAGTGACCTTTCTAATGTTTCACATGGTTCATCAATTCAGTGTTGTCATTATTTATTTTTTTTTGAAATAAAGTGTTGCCGTTGTAATGAGAAGGGTCAAGTTGCTTCTAGGATTCCTCAACGTGCTTTGGTTGTTTTGGAGCATGAATCTTATTATCCGCATGTTGTTGAAAAACAAATTGTCAATCATATTGAATACTCAGGTGATGAAGATGACCTAGATTAAGTTCAGTAATTGTCCTATTGCCTCCTGACCTTGCTGTCTTAATAATCATAAGGAGTCCCTTGAGGTTCAAGCTACTATATTCTGTGCTCCCATCCCTTTCCCTACTTTACCCTGGAAACCTCTCATATATTCCCAGCACCTCTAGAGCCCATTATTCTTCATGTTCCTTTTCAACTAGTGATTTTATGATGGTTAACACTTCCCCAAGCTCATTGTGTTCCTGCCTTCTTGGCCCATCTTCGACCCTTAAAAAATATGGACCTATTGCCCATCTTCTTGATGTACATGATCATATTTTCGAAGTTGGCAATTTATATCCTCATCAAGGTTTCTTGGAGCCTCTGTCTTTATTTTCTCATATTTTTGTAGGCTGTGCTAAGTCTAAAGTTTACGTTGTAGCCAACAAGTGAGAGTGTAACCATATGGAACATGAATGACCTCTAAAGGCAGTTCCCATGGGTACCTTGTTAAGTGGAAAGGTTATCTCAAGTCCGCTGCTTCTGATAAAGATTTGTTGCACAATTCGAATCCCAAGTTCTTATATGATTATTTGCATTCTAACTCGTCAGTGTTGAGTTTCTTTGCAAGTGAATGAGAATGATGTCGAACCATAAGGCCTAAGTAAGGAGACTTGCATTTGTAAGAGATCTGATTTTATTCTTCTGTTTAGAGAATTATAATTTAGGAGATTTGACTTATTTAATTATTTAACATCTTTCGGAAATTCTGAATTTGTTTTCCTATTAGTTGTTTTTCTTCTTAATTAAGGTTGGAATCTATGCAAATGTTTTTGATGAACAATTTACGTTAAGAGTGGAAGAGATAATTTTCTAGTGAAATTATTTTACATTTCTACCTAGTATTTTCTGTCTCTCGTTGTCTTCCATATCTGCCTAATGTTTCTCTTGTCTTCCTCTAAAGTGTTCCCCTTTATCCCTTTTTTATCTCTTTGTACCAATTTTTCTATTTTCTTTTCCATATTGCCTTAAATATCTCTTCATTGGAGGACAGAAATCACATAAAACGAAATCACATGCAATTAGTTCTCCTTTACTGTATTCTTCTAGAGCTTTTTTTAAAAAGGTTTTTTAAGGAAAAAATAGAAATCACGTAAAATGGCACCATTGACATCAAGATGGAAAAGGGTGTAAAAGATGAAATGCAGTGAAAGAAAACAGATATGGAGGGGAAACTAAAGACTCAGGGTGGAAAAATTGGTATTTCAAAGATGTTGGATTGGCCAAGTTAAAGCTTCTTCTATTCTATTTGTTATACCATGAGCTTAGTTGTCTTACAACATAGCTGTCAATTGCTTCCCTCTTTTCTTTTTTCCCTTTTATTTTGTTGTTTGGCTTTTTTTTTCTCCTGTCCTGGTTCAAGTAGCCTGCTGTATGCGTGAAATCAAGGTTCATATTTGCACATGATATGGAGTCTTATCTACCTTATGCAATTAGCAACAACCCATTGTTATTTTACAAGGGCTCAATTTTTTGAAAACACCACTGAGGTTGAATTTTTTGTCTTCGTCCCCCCTGAAGATAGCATGATTGTTCTGCACTTTACATCACTAAAACAAACCTTTAATTTGTTTATGTTTCTTGTCTTGCTAATTTCAATGCATGAAAATATTTTATGCAGGATTTTCTCTCCAGAGGCTGCTTGTGAGGTCATAGAAGCAGAGAAGCACTCCCATGTGTTTTATGAGGCAGAGCCAGATATCTGGATGGTGATGGTGCGGTCTTCTAGTTTCAGCTTTTCTATGATTCACTGCTTTGATTATAATCTGTGTCACGTAGGACAAAGAGAGTTTGGGCAGGAAACTTTGAGAAAATTTATTAAGAACCGAAATTGGAGATCTTGAATCTTAATAGTCAAATTAGTACTCAATATTTTATATTATTGGTTATCTAATTAGTTAGCTATTTTCCGTTCTTTTAAGTGACGCAAATTGCAAAATGCAAAATATGTGTCTCAAGGAATCTTAATGACTGGGAGATTAATGAGTCTGAATCGCTTTTTGGGTCCCATCCAAGTGTGGTCCCTTGATGCTGTCGATGAAAGTAAGAGAGCTTGACGAGATCCCATCAAAGCAGATTTGGAAGGTAAATGCATCTTCTTGAGTGGTATTTCTTTTCTTGTGAGGCGGCAAAGGAATTTATTTTGATCTTGGACAAGATGATTAAGAAGGCAAGGATTTTGGTGAATGGGTGCTTCGTGTATAGAAGTGATGCAGATTCTTCTAATCAGATTCTTACTAGTGTCCCATATCGGTTGTGGTGCCTTGCATACGGTCCCTTGGTTATAAACTAGGTGATGGCGGGTTTAGCAAGGGATGAGATCCAGGCTTGGGGTGGAATGCATATGGACAGACGCTCTGCAAGGCTTATTCCTTTGGCGATATTTTGGAGAATTTAGAAGAAAAAAACAAGTGAGCCTTTGTGGGATTAGAGGCTAATTTTGATAAATTTAAAGAAAGACTCTAGGTTTTCTGCTTAAGGGTCATTCTCTTTATTTGTTTGATTAGGAGCCTAATAATGTTTTGTTAGATTTGTAAATTGTTGTATATGGGTTAGCATCCCTTTGCTGCTTGTGATATATGATACTTTTATTTAAAACAGGAATTTCTAAAAAATTAGGTATTATACTTCTTTTTCTATATAAAAATATAGATTAGGAATTGTATTTATGGCTGATCTTCAATTTATTTTAAAAGTATGGATAACATTAGGTCTTTCATAGCTTAATTTATTTTAAGAGTATGGATAACATTAGGTCTTCCATAGCTTTAGGATTCTACTTATGGCCAGCAGATGTATGTTTATTCTTTATTGACTCTAAGCTAAATTCTGACTCAATAGCATGAAACATTTCTACACCTCTGTTAACTTATATTAGTTTATTTGTTTATCTGATTTATAGATGGTGGCTTAATGATTTTCTTTACATCATTCAAATGTTCTTTTGAATGTTATCTATCAAAATCTAAAAAATATGTATCTTTTCTGTGAGCCTTCTGTGTTTAAATTGGGCCAATTGCAACCTTCATGAAATTTGTCTTACAGTAGTTCTAAGCTGTGAAGGAACTTGCTACAGGTAGTGGAGAAAAGTAAGGAGGTAGGAGCTATATGGCGTATTGATGCCTTACGGAAGGTCCTTAAGGAAGTGCACTCTCTCTTCATGATGTTTAATGGATCTATCAGGGCATTGCTTGAAAAAGAACCTGGTGGAGGACTGGCACGATCCCACTTGTATCCGTTCGTTATGGATTATCTAAGTGGTATGTCACGGTGCAATAATCTGCCTAATTAAATTATAATCAATGGATTTTTCACTTCTCGTTGGTTGGAAACATTTCACTATAAGTCATTAATTGTCAGCATGTCAAAAGCGGTCTCCCTTGGATAAGTGCTGCTGTGGTAATGCTGAAGTTTGCTGTATCAACTGATCTCCATTGGATTTCTGCTATCCAAGTAATGCTGGAGTTGGTGTATATAGTAGCTTACACATAGCTTTTGTCTTTGAGGCAGATTTTTTCGTTGGGAAGAAACTTCAGTTGCCCTCATTTTATGACTCTTTAAAAGAACGTGGAACTGTACAGATGCTGACTGTAGGGCGAGAGGCTGCAATTGAGATTCAGGTTTGTTTTTGGTGAACGTTTCTGTTGTAGAATGTGTTTCAAATACCTTTTTTTTTTCATGAAACAAATCTTTTTATAACTTCACTTCATCATATGTGATTTATTTATATTTGATGGCATGAATTCTCTTAATGAGACGACCTCATTAACATAGGCATTGCTGCGCCTTTTTTTTTTGGTCACGGAAGACAAAGGAAATCTATTGATAGTGATTAGTCAACGAAGGCAAAATTTCATGCTTCTTAATGACTTAAATGCATCTTGGATGATTGTGCTTTTACTTGTTTGCAAATACAAAGTAATAAATGATGAGGGAATGAAGACAAAGTTTCATGGTTCTTGATCCTTGGAACTTGATGATTTAGTGCCTCTTCCCCCCTCTTTGTTAAATCAAAGTAGTTAAACCTCATGGTTATCAATATCATAGATGATCTAAATCATGGATTCTTTCTTGGTAATTCAGACCCTTTTTCTTTGGTACAAAAGGTCGTGTTGTCCTTATACTTTTGTCTTCTTTGCTTGTGGAAAGTTAAGGAGGGATCAAACCCTCAGTTTCAAGCTACTATATGGGGCCCGAAGCCATTTGGCTTAGTGTTAAAGTAGTCTCTTGTTGAGTTCTCTAGCAGTAGTTCTGATCTTTTTCGTGATGTTTGGGTTGTTTCCTTTTAAATATATATATATACACACACACTATTCGTAAAGTGGAGTGGATACCACGAGGCAAAAGACCCAGTGGCTTTAACCTGTTAATATAGTCATTAGTAGGATCTTTCTAGCCACTAATTTAGGTTGTTTTAATTGTTTGTTTTCTACTTGATCAAGATTGACTGAATATGAAGAAAGAAAGTTGGAGTTATTATGTGTTCTTTTTGGTAACAATCACATCTTCTTTTGTCAGTTGCTTGTCAGGTTACTAGAATCTTGCGCTGGAAGCATGCCTTGCTACTCGCTGATTTTGTTTCAGGACCTGCTGGTGTCTACAACACTTTCTCCTGTATGCATTGATCTCTGAAGCTCTTTTGAACTATGTTTGTTGCTTTTCCCCATTAATCTAGAAATTGAGAGGACCTTCAATAAACATTTCTTTTCCTTTTCTGTCAGGATGATACCATAAACATATTCACTTATGCTGTTATGAGATTGACCCCACATGGCCTATCCTCTGGAATAAGTTCTTGGTCTTACTTACGGAAAGGAACTACTTCTTCTGCTGCTGCTTCAGAACAATTTTATGGGTCACTAGATACCTCTTCTGGTGGAGACAATACGTATTGTGTTAGAAGGCCATTACAGCATGACAGGTGGTCGAAAGCGAAGGATGGTTTCATTGGAACTGATATTTGGGGTGCAGAAGTCGGTAACTCGGCTTTTGGCACCCCAACTGTTTTGCTACAGCAGACTGAGGAGAAAATGTATCTATGTCCATATCAGTATAAAAACCTTACCTTACTTATCCTGATCCCTGTTTCCTCCATCCTTAATGGGGAGGGAGGTGTTTCAGCCTTGAAGCAGCAGATTCTTGAAAATGTCAGTTCCCCTACCTTTATTAGTGAACCTAATCTTGTCTGCTATTAGCTATCCATGAATTTTGATTTGGGGGGGATTGGAAGCAGGGGGTTTGGTTGATTAAGTTTTTTCCCTTATTTTTTGCTGGAGGTGGATTAAACCTTTACTTTCAATCTTGATTACTTGTCTGGTCAAGGGTCAAACCATTACCTTCAAATTTTGGGTCTACCATACATTGATTCATCACATTTCTTCTCTAAACCACTAAAAATTTTCAACATATTGAAACAAATGTTTTGAAAATATTGTTAATAACTTTTTTTTTTAAATTTCTTCTTCATATTTTGATTTTGAGATTTCACCTTGATTATGACTGAATGCTTTATTATTCTTTCATTTATTGGCAGTATGCTTATCTTCTTTTTTGGAGCTGCTGAAATGATACCCAAAGATTGAATGCTTATCTCTCCATGTATTAAATCATAATCTTTATTCATGTTGAATTGGTCAGGCATCACTGAAAATTTTGAAAGTTGAAGAAAAGCTATCAAAAGGATGGGGTGGTGAGAATGCATATCATGTCAGTGGTTATCGGTACCTGCTAGTGGATGGTGATAGAGATATATCCAGGGCCTCTCCACCAGGAAAAGTTACAACATTAACGAAGGTGAATCTTCCTAACCTGAAAAGATTAGAGAAAGTCTAGTCACCAGAAACTACATTTTTTATAGTTTTGTTTTCTCAAACTGCAAGACTGGTTCATCTCTTGAGCCTGTTATCTTTAATTCTTTGTTACTGTTTAAAGTTAGCCCTCAAAGTAATTGCGTAGTATGAGTATTACATTATTCTTGTCAAATTTAAAATTTGCAGAAGAGTTAAGCTAGCCTGTCCATTGAGTGCATTTTTCCCAATCTGCTTAAATTATTTTTAGAAGTTTTAAACCATCGGGATGTGTGCTACAATTTCAGGAATCTTTACTTGCTTTAAACAAGGTTAGAGAAGAGGTAGATGCAGAAAAGAGCAGAGCAAAATTGGATAATCCAAGTCGTGAGAAAGATTTGGAAGTATGCATTAGAGCGAAGAACAATGCTTGGGTTATTGCTCGGATTACTAGAGGGAAGGAGCTTTTTATGGTTTTGGAGAAAGCAAATGAAACCCTTATGTATGCTTCTGATGCTATTGAGAAGTTTAGCAACAGGTAGTGCCCTTTTCCCAACAGTATTTTTTTTTATAATTCAGTTCCAGAGGTAAATATGGAAGCCATTTCCAAATCCACATTTTTCTAATGAGTTTTAGAATTATTTAAGATGATTTCCATATGGAATTGGGCAAGGAGAGTCAAAATTTTATCAAATTTGTTGGAATCTGGAAATTAACTTGAGAATTTAATTTTAAATGTCTGCAAGGTAAGTTTGCATATCATGGTGAGCAAATTTATAACTGTTTCTGTTAATCTTGCAGGTACTGCGATGGAACTTTTTCTTTGGATTAGGGGAAAGAAAAGAAAGAATATGTTGGTGTTAGATAATTTTGAGTGGCATATAGCAAACCAAACTTCCTCTTCTGCTTGCTGCCTCCTGGAAGATACGGTGCAGTTTTGCACTACAGATATTTTGTAGCATTAAAAGCAGAAAGGAAAAATCTTATTTATCAAGTATATAAAATGTAATAAGTGTTTATGAAAAAATGTTGATTAGTTTATTGTGTTGTGTATTCAGCGTTCCTTGTCCCAGAATCACATTCTCTATCTTTTTATTTAAGTTACATTTGGAGGGTGAACTTCCCTTTTTAGTAAATGGTGAAACTTCCAGGATCCTTAAAGCTTCGGAGGCGATTTATTTTTGCAAAATGGCACTGCACTCCTCAGTAAGCGCAACTGTCTCAATTTCCTCTAGCTTCCTCTTGTTCTGAGAGGATTTCCTTCATAAACTTCACATAGCTAAACATTTGCTCCAAAGCATCTGCAAATGGAATGTTGATATGTAGTTTCCTAAGAACATCTAAGAACTCATAGAGAACTGTTTGTCCAATTTCTGCTTATGGAACCTCTGAGGATACGGAATAGGAGGAACATATTTTGATGCTTATCTTGGATTTCTGATGCTTGGAGCGCTTTTTTTTTTTTTTTTTTTTTGACTTACCCAACATAACTTGGTGAGATGGAAACAATTATTTTGATAGTTCATTCAAAAAAAGTTAAAGATAAAAGCACATAATAGAGATATAGTGGGGAACACAAGTACTAGATTTAGCGGATAAGACTTAAAAGTGTGAGACTAGTTTCTGATAAGCACATAACATAATTGATTTAATCTTGAGTTGAGATACACCATATTATCATTTAACTTAAAATCATATATATACAGAATTACAAATTAGACAGGAGGGAGAGAAGATGATTAGAAGATTTCCATGGACATCCCAGCCTTTCATCATCATCATATTTACAAAGATGAATGATTGTTGCAGATGTGTCCTCTCATCATCTCCTTATCCAAATCACTTTTTTTTTTAAAAAGGTAAAGAATCATAGTTAAAAAAAAAGGAGAATCATATGTATGGATTAATGTGGGATGTGTAGTCTCTGATTCCAGCTCCTTCCCATCCCATCCACTCTTCCCACAATTCCCAATCTGGATCATTCATTCCTCTCATGGACTCATCTCCATCATCATACATCATCTCTGTTTCATCTGTTTCACCTCTCAAGCTGCTCATCACAATCTGCACAACATCACATCTTATCATCAAATTCCACTCCACTTTTCTTCAATAATATAAGAAAATTTTCTGTCCATATCTACGTGTATATATATATATGTATATATAAAAGGTAATAGTCACCCACAATAATATAAGAAAATTCTGTCCATATGTATGTGTATATATGTGTGTATATACATAAAATGTGGTCCCTTGAATGGCGTATCGGGAAGAAATTAAATGATTTGATGCTTTTGTATTGTTCTACACCTTTCACTTTTGATTTAATCAAATTCTAGAAATCCAATCAATCAATCACTTGTGTCTGGTTCATGACATTTATTCCTGCTTCTACACCCATCTAAATTTTTAGTATTACTTACGACCATGATAAATACTTAAGCAAATAATTGAAATAAACAAATCATAATCTAATTCGACACGAAAAAACAAATCATACAGGATTCTATTTGCTTCCCAACAACCCAACAAGTATACTTACAAATCCATTGAATAATATTTGATCTTAATAAGTATTTCTAGGGTTGTGAAATTGATGAATAAAGACATTAAATAATCACATACATCATACGCTTCATTAATCGTCTGAAACTGAACCCCGCAATTGCTTCCTCTGCACACATCAGGATGATACTGCAACACTCAAAAATAAAATTCAAAATTAATAAACCAAAACTAAATTAGAAAAAAACGATGAAGATTTTGGAATCCAATTCAAAGAAAAAGAAATGGCGAACGAACATACCTGCAAGGCAAGTTGCCTAAAAGCTTTCTTGACCTCGTATTCAGAAGCACCGGGTCGGATCCTGAGAGTCTTGTAAGGATCGATGAGAGAAGAAGACGAACAAGAGATAGTTACCCTATTTGGCTTGTTGTTCTTATTCTTTTTGACCTTGAAGTGGATCCAAGAAGAAGAAGAAGAAGAAGAAGATGCATTTCCTCCGATCAATCCAGCGGCCGTCGCCATTATCGAAACAAAGCAAGAGCAGAGGTTGTGTATGTGTATGTAAACGTGTATATATCGATTATAAAAGAAGGAAAACAGGGGGCAGAATGTAAAACCGGAGAAAGTTGGTGAAAGGTGAGTTTGGAGGGCGGTATTTATAGAATCGGAAAGGGCAAGCTCTTATCCAGAAAGAAGCTGGTATGACGTGTCAATGACGTATTTTGTGGGGAAACTTATCCAAAGACTTTTATTTTGGTCTAATGGTTTAATTTTGGAATATTCTTATTTATTTATTTATTTATTGGTTCTAATTTCCTAATCCGAATTTTAATTTTATTTTCATTACTAAAATTTTTTAATTATCATGGAGAAAAAACAAGGAGAGAAATATAAAAAGAAGAAATACAGGGATCAAATTGAAAATTACCGTTCTTTTAAATGACACGTGGCTATTTACTTTTACTGTTAACAAATTTGTAATTACCGTAAGAAATTAGGGAGAAAATGAGGGAGAGAAATATAAAAAAAAAGAAATGCAGGGAGCAAATTGAAAATTATGGTTTTTGTGAAAGGACACGTGGCTATCTGGGCAAAAAGGTATCCTAATTTGTGGTAGAAGAGTATTATTAATTTTATTTTATTTTTTAATTTTTCTGGAGAAAAGAAAAAGTAAAATAACAGAAATAACAATAATAATTATTAAAAAATAAAAAATAAAAATAAAATAGTTGCTGGTTTAGGAAAAGAAGCCGTGTGCTGTTTTGCTTTCAGCCAGCGAACGGATAAGGCGGTTTTCCGACAAGGACACGTGGCTGTATTCTTTCGACTACACGTGGCGTGCGTTTATTCATCCAGTATTTTTATCTGGAATCTGGTTTACTGTGTGTGGTCCCCACATGTGATGCCTTTTTTTTTTTTTTTTGAAGCGGAACTCTTACCAGTCTTATCCACACGTGATGCCTTTATTCATCAATATACATATTGATTATGTAATATAAAGTTTTAAATGTTATAAAATTTAATTTTTAATTTAATAAAAGTTATATACTATATGATTTTTAAATGTAAAAATAATTTTGATTTTATATACGATAATTTTATTGATATATTTTTCCAAAAATAAATTGTGTAGATATATATATATATATATATATATATAGATGTACATTCACCTACCTTTTTGTCTTCATAATCACCATCTACAAAGCACCACGTTTTTCTTTTTATCATAATAATCGATGATCAATATATTGTGTGATATTATCTCAATGAGAATCAAACTTTGAACAAGTCTTTTTGTCTTCATAAATACACATTTATTTAAGTTGACACGTTCATGTGCTCATTAATTACATTTAATGTATATATATATATATATGTATAATAGAACAAAAGTTTACATTCAAACTCGAATTGTTGACTTTATAAAGAAAAACCCACGTACCAAATTTGAATTCAAACTCGAATTATTAACTTTATACAATAAAATTAAAATTCGAATTACATCTTCTTCGTTCGTAAATGGTATAAAAATCAAGCTGTGTTTTTCTTATTTTACTCTAAAAATTAAATTCTCCAACTTGGTATTTTTTTAAAAAAATTCAAGAAACAGCAAAAAATGTTTTTAAATTGAATTAATTAATTATTCTTTAGTGAAGAAATTTAATTTACTTTAAAATATTGTTTTTGATGAAGAACATTTATTTCTTTATTAACCCAACAACCGAATCAAGGTTCAAACAAGAAGGTGAGTTTAAAATAAAATATCCTTAACATGTGCATCTTCACCTCTCAAGTCCTAATCTCTACTTTGATATATATATATATATATAATATTATAACATAAAGGAATAAATATATGTATATATATAAGTGTAAAATAGAAACAAAATGGATATTAAATTAAGAGAAGATCCCATACATATCCTACAATGGCCATAGGGAAAAATTTAAAGAAGGTTCAATCAAGAAAGAAGCATCACTCAATTACTTTCAGAATCTATAGATATTCAATTGCAAATATCTTAGCCCACGTTTGGTCAATATATTATATACACTAAATTAATCACAACCTCATTAATTTTACCCAAAAAAGAAAAGATTCAATAATTTAGTGAAAATTACTTAAAAAAAAACCATCACTACCAAGAAAAAAAATAATTGAAAACAAATATGAAAAGCCTAAAAATGTATATGCCCTTTGATTACTAATTTACAAATCAAATTTTTGTCTACCATGTGAAGATATTACAACAATGAATAGTCATGTTTGTTACACAAATATATATATATATATATATATATATATAAAGATTATGTTTTGATGGCATCTATATATTTGTGTGTTTGTAGCGGCCCCGTAAATATTAAAATGAAATGAGTATTTAAATATATCAAATGCGGAAGCGAGATCAAAATTTCAGTTAACATCCCTTACACGAAAAACCAGAAACGTACTTAAAATATAAAAGATTAAACTAACTAAGAGAGAAACTCGAAAATAAAACTATGAGTATGACTACAGAGTCTCTAGGTATCCCCTTCGTCATCCTCCTGCGGAACGGGCTCGGGAACCATGTCTTCCTGATCTGAAATGGTTAAATAAGGAGTGAGCTACACTAGCCCAGTAAGAACATCACGATATCTCACCGTCACGGAGGTAAAGGTGGGTAGAAAAACACAAAAGACCAATGGAGCATAATTTACAATAAACTCGTTTATTAACATGAAAACCTTTACCATCCACTTACCTTGGTGGAATTTATGAAAACAATATGAGAAAAACAATAACATTATCATAATCATTGAATAATCTAAGCTGTAAAACATAACACTTATCACGCCTCTTGTAATTCAATCATTGTACAACATATCTTTTTTTTCTCATTTACCAGCCTACTAGTATCCGTGGGGGTCCATAGGGGTTCCGCTACCCGTTAACCTTTAATATTCATAATCAGTTTCCAGGGCCGTCCCCATACCCCGTCCGGTATGGGCGCCAAAACCATGAACCTCAATACCCCGTCCGGTATGAGGGTGAAACGGGCCGTCCCCATACCCCGTCCGGTATGGGCGCCAAAACCATGAACCTCAATACCCCGTCCGGTATGAGGGTGAAACGGGCCGTCCCCATACCCCGTCCGGTATGGGCGCCAAAACCATAAACCTCAATACCCCGTCCGGTATGAGGGTGAAACGGGCCGTCCCCATACCCCGTCCGGTATGGGCGCCAAAACCATAAGATCTCCATACCCCGTCCGGCATGTGAGACCACAATCCCGGTAGGGTTCCCTACGGACCTGGTCCGTCCACCATCTCCCAGGATATCTAGTCAGGCTGACCCCCATAATACAATTATCAGTCTACACAATCTTTCATTTTCCTTTTCCTCAATCAGCATCATCAATTCACATTTAAACAAGCAAATCGTAATTCATACCAAACAGACAACATACAGTATCAGTTTTTCAGTCATTCAACCCATAATTAATAAAAACGTAGTACATGCACACAAATCTGTAAAATGAACACATCAAACCTCATTTTGCATTTAAAGCTGTAAACAGGCCAAATAACAGTAAATCATCAATCACACTAGACTCGGGCTCCATTAGCAACCTTAAGCAATTTCACACATGCGTTAATTCAAGAAATACCGTTTTATCATTTTGAACTTTAATACCGTGATAGGAAATAGGGTGAGGGGTCCTTACTTGTTTTCGAGATCCGAATACGATTCACAGTGCGCCTGCAGGCCTTCCCTAATTTTCCCTGAATTTTTCCCGGGGAACTGAAACACACTAACAATACCTGCACGTGTTCCAAAAAAAAATCCAAATTAGGCCCAGGGCCCCTTTCGGACCAAATCGCAACTCCGGCACGGCGGCTCCGCCGTGCTCCGGCGACGGCACCGCCGCTGGCGGCGGCGAGTCGCCTCGGGTTGACTGTTTTCGGCCGTTTTCGGCCGAATTCGGCCACACTCGCATTGGTCCTTGTCAGAAAACAGCCCTAGGGCCCTCGGGGGGCCAAAAATCACGGAAAAAACGGAGCTTACCGGCGGCGGCGCTCTCGGGTGCAGCGGCTCTCCGGCGAGGTTCGTGTTTTGGTGATTCGGCTCCGGTCAACCTGTAGAGAAAAGAATGGTGATCACGGTGATATAAAAATTGCATCGAACGGAGGCCGGGAAGGGCCTCGTCGGAGGCAAAAACCGAGAGGGGGCGCGGCGGCGCCGCTGGGCTTCGGCCGCGTATTCCGGCCGTTTGGCCGGGATTTCGGTTTCGATTTGGCCATAGGAGGAATCAGTGCGGAAAAACGAGTCGGGGGTATGAAATTTACCTCGATCGGCGGTCGGAAATTTCCCCGGTGCGGCGGCGAGTGGCGGCGGGTGGCGGCGGTCGGCCTCTGGTTCGTCTTCTCCGGCGAGCGGCTGGCGGCTAGGGTTTGTGGTCTGGTGTGGGGGTTCTATTTATAACCCCTTGCCTTTTGATCACAGCCGTTCATTTTGTTTTAATCTGGGCCGTTCGTTTTTGATTGAATCTGGGCCGTCCGTGCGATTGAATCTGGGCCGTCCGATCGCGTGATTGATCTGGGCCGTCGGATCGCACCCACGCGGATCGCCAACGTGGCTCCTTTCGGAGTGACGCGATCTTGCCACGTGGCAGGCACTGGTTGGCCGGGACTGCTGACGTGGCTGCTGACGCGGCTGCTGACGTGGCCCCCCTTTTTTTTTTTTTTTTTTTTTTTTTTTTTTTTTTTTTTTTTTTTTTTTCCCCTCCTCCTTTCCGGGTGCTACAACTCTCCCCCCCATAAAGAAATTTGGTCCCCAAATTTGCCTCATTACTCTTGATCAAACAGATGAGGATATTGGGCCCTAAATTCTGATTCCAGCTCCCAAGTCGCCTCCCTAGGTGTGTGGTTCTGCCACAAGACTTTTACAAATGATATTTCCCGGTTACGGAGTATTCTGCTTTCTCGGTCTGTGATACTGACCGGTACTTCTTCATAAGACAAGTCCTCTCGGAGTGAAAGCGGTTCATGAGCCACGACATGAGAAGGGTCCGGATTGTACTTGCGCAGCATAGATACATGAAACACATTGTGAACCCGGGAGAGCTCAGGGGGCAGTGCAAGTCTGTA